TCTCCTGATTCTACTCTTTTGCCATCTACACCTCTGTAATCCATCCTTGACCCAGCAGCTAAAGAGAATTATTTAAAAGAACAATCAGATCATGTTGCTCTCCTGCTTTAAATTCTTCTATGCCCTTAGGGAAAAAAATTCAAACTCCTTACCTGGCTTACAAAGTCCTAAAATTTGAACCCTTCCTGACACTATTCAAAGCGAGTACTACTCACCTATCATGTCCTTGACATTTACACCATACTGACATTTTCCTTGAAAATCCCATGTTCATTTCCACCTTGAGGGCTTTTGATAGGCTCTTCTCCAAACTGTCCCATGGCTGACTCCTTCGTGGCATTCAGATCTTAGCTTAAATATCATCCCCTTGGGTAAGTCTCCCCGATCACCTAAGTTATTGGCCCAATCACTTCTATACACACTCTGTTTCTCATCTTAGTACACAACACTATCTGACAATTTATTTAATAATGTTTAAGAAAAAGTTGTTTATTAGTTTGTTTACACATTTATTTTAAAACCAGGTCTGGGACTAGGGTGAGGTAGGTAAGGCATTCACTTCAGGTGTAAAATGTAAGGGGATTCTAAGACTTTAGTAATCAAGATGAGTAAGATTTTGATACAATATTCAAAATTTTTTTAATTAATGAAAAAATTGGTGATAAACAAAAAATCAAAATTGTAAATAAAGATAGGATCTGATAGGGCTGGGATTGAATGAGGCAAGTGAGATGGGCTGGGGGAGGACAGCCCTTTACTGGTGGAGTGGAAGTGGCTATGCTGATTAGTGATCTAGGGAGTAAGGAGCCTGGCCCCATCCTCTCTTTCTTGGGAGCAAACATCCCACAAAGAACAGTCATTCTGCCCATAAGGAGAGGCTGTCAGGTGAGGAGGCTGTGGTGACCCAGTGCTTTCTGTGACTGGGTGGGCAAGTCTGAATCTGAGGTTCGCGGCAATAGGAATTCTGGTTGCCCATGAATATGTCATCTGCCTTCCAGCAATGAAAGTACTGTTTTGACCACTTTATGCTGACGCTCTTATCTTATTTCTGTTGGTTCAGACAAATAAGAGAGAGGGGTGTTGTTTACTGAGCCCTCCTCTACCTCCCAGAAACACTACCTGGTACAGAGTAAGTGACTGAATGATCAAATCTATAGAGACAGATGCTTCAGTATCTAGTAGATTTGGAAGCCACACATACTGAGAAATAATACATCTTTATTTTATTCAATTAAATAAACTCCTCTGCTCATAAGCTTTCAATTTACTCTTTCATGGACTCCAACAAAACACCAAATCAGAGCACAGACTCTGCCTGTCACTGAAAATAGCTTCACCCGTTGTGCCCCATCATTTTTGTCTTGATCACTCTATTGCTCATTAGGTCATGGCATGTTTGTCCTTCAGTTTGAGGTGTTTTATAAATATTCTTGATTCCACCATGCCTGGTACACTCCAAAGCAGTGGAACTTTAAAAGTGCTAATAAGAAGAGATAATTATAAGGAAACAAGAGTAAACTTATAAAAAAAAAGAAAGAAAGCAGAGAGAAAATGACTGCTGTTGCACATGAGTTGTTTTATAGGAATGATTAAGGATCAAGAGTTGAGGCATGTGACAATTTGTGTTGATTTAAGTAACAGTAATCAGCCAGAAACTAGCAAGACTGACTGGCAAAGTGAAAAAACAAAAATTTTAAGTATAGAGAACCAATATCAATATTGGCCTAATCTTAATTCGGCAATTGGTTGAGGGTTGATCTGGGAACATAATAGCTTAGCCCGGAGAAGGCTCTGCTGATAAGGCATCTGGGGCAGACACCAGAGCCCCTAAGAAGCCCCCGTGGCAGTGCTTCCCTGTACTGGCACCATCAGCATCACCTGAGAGCTTGTAGCAAATCCAGACTCTCAGGCCCCACCCAGACCTACTGAATCAGAATCTGAATTTTAACAAGATTCCCAGGTGATTCATATTCCTTTAACATAAGAAGCACTGCTCTAGGACACTCCCTAAAGAAAGGGGGTTCCTTGTCTCAGTGGATTTTTACAGCAAAGTAATAAGGAGTTAGTGGAATTTAGTGAAGATTTAGTGGAATTGGAATCAAAGAGAAAGATGCTATAAAAGAAGAAGCCATAGAACCCAGAAGATTTCACACCTCTTCACTGGCGGGGGTCTTTTAGAGTAATCGGAAGGCACTGTTGCCATTTGAGTTATAGGAATCCAACTTAGATCTGTAAAGGTATCTATATATGTGTTGTTATTAACTTATTTATAATTTTTTTAGAAAACCAAGGTTTTTGATATCTTTAATTTTTAACAGTTTAAAAATGCCAGAAGAAACCATTTAAAAGCTGTAAATGTTTCTTTGAAACAATGAATCATTCTAAGAATAAGCTGGAAAGGTCACATCAGCATGGCATTTTGAAAAGGAAAGCAGAGGCAGGAGCCAGAGAGGCGGAGGAGGGGAATTCAAACACACAGGAGCAGAGATTAGAGCCCAGCTGAAGAAGATAAAAGAAGAGGGCACCAGAGAGGACATGAAAGTCTGAAGACAAACACTAACAGAACAAGAAGGCAAGCATTGTTTGCCGTGACACTCTCAGCAAAGTTGGGAAAGAGCATTTTCAACGTGACATTGAAAGAACAGTGAGAGACAGCTCAGCTGCATCTATTTGAGTTTTGAAATTTTATCACACTATAATAAAACGTAACCAGGCACTTAACCTCATCTTTTTGCTCAGATGGAAAAAAGAAAGGTATTACACAGTGCATTAGAGGAGGAAAACTTTAATTTTTTGTTAATCTATGCATGGATCTGTATGGTCTATGAAATATTCATAAACAACCAAGTGACTCCATTCAGCAAAGAGTAAGGACCCCCGTGAGTAGAGAAGACCACATCCTACACTCCTATAAATAAATGGTTTTCCCTGGAGAAGGTGTATCTCAGAAATTACATCTAAACCACTATAGAAGAGAAATCTCTTTGAGTGGGAGAATTTAATTCAAATGGAAACTTTTTAATAAGAATTCATTGCAAAAAATGATCGAAACAATTATTACCTATAGTTATGTATCAGCTTAATATAGGCAGTGGTGGGGGTGGGGTAGGGGGGGAAAAATTGTCCCAATAATTGAAAAGGACTGAGGGGAAGGGCAAATATTAGGTCCCAGTGCCCTAGGAGTTCTCTGTCCACAGGTATTGCCCACATCAGTGGAAACTGATACTGAGAAACTGATTCTAGTGAGAAACTGATTCTAATAAGAAACTAGAGAGAGCAGTGAAGTGGATGGTTGTCAGCTCCAGCTGCACTTCAGTCACTTGGGGAGCATTTAAAAGACACCAGCACCTGGGTCCAACTTCCGGAGACTCCGGTTTAACTTGTCTGAGGCCACGCCTCCTCAACCACACTGTTTAAAAAGCTTCCCAGTTGATTCGAATGTACGGTTGGGGCCAGAACAACTGAGCTAGACTTTAAGACCTGAGCTGCCTGCAGACAAAGGCAGCAGAAGCTCTGGTTAGAGCAGCCACTATGACCTCAGAATCCGCCATAGTCCCTCCCTGACTTCCGGATTCCAGGCTGAAGTTTGTCCCCACCTTCCCAGCTCCTTCCCCTGGGCACCAGCCCCACCACTTTGGGTG